CTACTACGTTAATTTAATTTTACTTTTATTACCTTACCTTCTTACGTTACTTTAACTTTTTAGTTTTAGTTCGTTGTATACTACTGTATACTACGTGTGTATATATATATATATATATATATATATATGTATACAACATGTTAAAATAACAGTGTTAAAGGCACATAATACACATATAACACAACTTTAATTTCATTCTTTGACATTTTACTAACCAGAATATTGCAGAAGAGTGTTTTGGAATAAAAGTTTACAGTTACTGGAAAAAATTCCTCAGGACCACCATTACAAGAAAATTCCATGGCTCCAGTTTTATTAGCCACATCAATCAGAGGAACCCTCCACTCTAAAATACTCTTTCGGCTGTCATGGTGATATTCACCATCACACTCGTTTACAATGAGGTTACTGGGTCCTGACCTAATAGAAAGGTATAGTAATATAATTTTTTTAAATGCCATGAAATAAATCATAACAAAGAAACAAAATACTCTACGATTACTAATTATAATGTGCACTACAAACATAAATTATAAAAGAACTTAAAGATTGATTCTTTTTATCCCTAATTTCTTTCTATTTACAGAACTAATAATTAATCTGAATAATCCTACTGTTATATTCCTCATCTTTTTCAGTTCTCCGACTGCTTCATTAATATCTGAATGCATTTTAGCTTAAAGTTTATTAAACCAGAAATGCTAGGTGTTGGCATGAATTGTAAATAGATTTTGCCAAAAAAAACAAATGAAGAAGATATAGTCATAAGCTTACATAAATGTTTATGCTGCACACACATACTTCACAATGCTTTTTATCACTAAATTTTATCAGTTTTTTTAATCAATGTTTTTTTTTTTCATTTTATAAATAAATATCTAGATGACAGAAAGGTTTGCACACACTCAATTAAACTTATAGTTCTTATTGGAAATTATGAATAAGACTGCATAACAAGAAATTAGTGAAGCTACAGAAAAGTGGTGGAATATATAATTGGATGAAACTATTAGTCTAGAAAATTGCAATACTATGAATAAAAACAACAAAATAACCACATTAAGACAGAGAAATAAATGAAATAGGAACTCTAAATTTAATTTTTTATCAAATTGTAACACGTATATTTTCACTATGTTGAGTTTCACATTAAAATTGTTATTCTTAACCTAGAATTTAGCAAATCAATCTCAGTTTTTACTTTTCACGGTACAATAAACTTATCAGATAAACTTGTACCAAAATATATATACTCACGGAAGGGTTATAGATATCAAAACATCATTCAATTCCATGTTTTCTTGTTCTAGCTCATACTCAATATTGACATCGCAACCACCTGTTCCATTCTCGGAAGGCCAGCAGTTAACTAATATTAAAATAATACATTATTTGGGAAAGAAAATAAAACATGTTTCATGACAGTAGTTGTTCTTTAAAATAAAATGTTCATATTATTCATTAAAAAAAGTAAAACATTTATTTAAAAAAAATTATTTCAAAGTTTATAAAACTGAATTTTTTGGCCATTGATAAATCCATGTTGAAATGGATGAGACTGTATTTAAGTTGATCCTGGTTCTGGAATAGTTAATCTATAATTGTGTACTTGTTTTCTATACAACATTTCTAAATATTCTAAAGATCCCTTCAACTTTCAAAGGAGTATGGTAGTGGATGCATGCCTAGCAAAAGTCATTAACATATTAAACTCGTTTCAAGGTTATCTGGCATCAGAGGTTTTCATCAGTTGGGACCAAATAAGAATATATCTGCCACTAGGAAAACTATATGACTGCCAAATGTTGGTGAATGAACAATGGAAAAGAAAACTGGATAAGCCTGTAAGTGTAACAGAGTTCAAATTGTGTCTCAATTGTTTAATTTCTTCAATAATGGTCAGGATTCAATCTGAGGAAAATTAAAACACTGTGATGTGGCAGTTGACAACCAGTTCAAAACTACTTTACAATCTTAAGGGACAAATGGAAAAACAGTTTAGGAAGTATTGAGAATGTTAATGGAGAAGTAGTTGAAAGAGTTTAATACTTGAACCGTGTCCTTATGTTCTGGCACTGTAAGCTGCTAGTCATGATATGGGATGGTTCTTTTGATTACTCAGAGTAACTAACATCTAGATGTACGTGAAAGTTGTTGCTAACCATGTCTGCCCCGTAATGTTGTATTTCCAACTGAGTCAATAGAGACTCTTCTAAGATGCTAATGCAACAATCCATTTTCTTGGTTAAAGTATAACATTGTTTCAAAAATCATGATAGCAACTTATCACCTTACATAGCATGTAGCATACTTGGAAGGAGCTCGAACACAATGTTCACTGTAATTATCTGACAACATCTGTGAACTAACTACAGACTATGCTATTCAGAAAACAAGCTCAAATCAAACAAGACGTCTTATTTGTAAATTACATGATCTATACTGCTCTGAGTAAAAGCTAGTGTAAAACAAATCTCTTTCTATCAGTTCAAAATTACAGAGAACTTTAGAAAAAACTGAAACTTTGACAGGTAAAGTCATGAAGTGTAGAAAATCATCCTGTAAAATCAGCAAGTTTAATTTGGAAGATTTTTTAATGTTCATTACAATTTCATCACAAACTATTTATTCATGTGCTTATAAGTCTGATAGGTTTTGTTTATGTAGTTTAATACTGCAATGAATACTTTCAAAATTCAACTGCTTGTGATCATTCATAGGAGCACCATAAAAAAACAATGTCTATATTGATCCTTTATATATATATAAAGTTCATGAATGGAATACAGCTTCCTTAACAATAAAAAAGGCAACCAAAGTTTATGAGAATTTGATCACAAGTATTTCAGAGATTTCAATACTATACAGTTTACTTCAGAAGTATTCATTAAGTTGCATTATCAGTCTTAAGTAACATTAACTGTAATTATTACTGTAGAAGTATAGTAGCTCTTCTTAAATGACCAGAACATTAAGAGCATGATTTATCATGTTATGGTGATCAATACCTATTTTATGCCCCAAAAAATTATAGTACTTTATGTAATCACAAGCTTTTATATTTGATAGTAAATATGTACTTCATTTGAAAATAATACACAAACATTTTGTTTCTAATAAACATGTTTGTCTGTTTAACCACTTCTACATTCTATTCTTCCACACTTCCATCTTTACAAAATACACACACACTTGACATCTTTCACAACACAGGACTTTTGGTTTTGAAATATAAAGTTTTCCATACTTGTAAGAGGAATGAAACTTTCATCTTGGCTCTGAAACCTCCACTTCAAAACTCCCACATCAGTATTTAAAGGAAATGGCTTAGATGGATTCTTCAAACCAATTATCAGCTGTGACTTGAACAGTTCCTTGTCAATATTAGGGTGAGTCTAAAAAGGGAAAAAATCCCAATGTTACAGCAACATATTGAAAACTATGTGTAGTGATGAAATTTAAGAAGATTGAATCCTTTCAGTACTTCCATATGTTATTCAAAGTTCAAACACTTAAACAAAAAATTCCATAACTTTTCAAAGATGGGATCCTCTCTTTTTTATCAGGATCTAATTTCATTGCCTGGTTTACAAAATAAAAACAAGGATTCACTAGATTTATTTAATTATTATTAAGTAGAAGTATCACAATAAACTAAATTTGCTGAAATTCCTCATACTGTTACCTACTGCAGGTCATTTAATTAAGTTATCAAATGTGTACATGCAGGAAGACAGAAACTTCACACATGCAAAGCACATACCAAGTGCGCTCTATTACTGTTTCATGCTATGAAAATTCAAAGCAGTGAATGTAACATTGATAAAAGAACAAAATGTATGATGTAGAATGTGGTATGAAGCCTACTGTATTATGAAAGATAAAACAATTTGTCATATTATTGAAACTGGACCATTTGGTATTATTTCTTGGCTTCAGAACTTACTCTAGAGTGTAACTATTTTGTTAATTGAAATACAATATACAGCTGCATGGTATGCCATTTTTTTCTCAGTGTTAGCTTTGTCACTTTTATGAGTAGTTATTCCTTATTCATCTTCGTTATTTTTTATTATTTCCCAGGATTTACTTCAATGGTCTCTAAAAGACTGAAATGATACAAGTGAAAGAGCTGTAACTGAAATGTTTAGGCTTAGCAAACACAAGCATCACTTTTTCGTACGCTCAAAGTAACTGCTTGCTTAGCTTGTCTTTAACTCCACAAATAATACATAATTAATTAAAATATAAAAGTAAAACCTACATACAATCTAACTGTATATCAAACTAATATATTTAAGGTGAGAACAAATTACTAAGTGCTATGGACACCCCTCTCAAAAGTGGACTTGGACTCATTTCACCCTGTTTGAAAACAAATGTTTAAAAGCATGTTTATTGTTACATTAATGACCTTCAAGAGTGAAATCTGCTCTTTCTATTGGTTAAAAGTATGCCATTCAACTCAAAACTGTCACTTAGCAACACAACTTTTACTGGCATGGCAACCTTAAACTGAGGAAATATTTATAAAGGCTTCCTGGGGAAGAAATTCTTGGAATGTGCTTGAGATAGTAATGTAAAACATGTGTATGGTGTCCTTTGGAAGTCTGATGAAAGCATCTACTGTACACAGACACAGTTTTTTCTATACCAGCTCTTAAAGTTGAGAAGTTGTAATTATGAGCCAATAACGTGACAGCAAAAATTGCAGTTTTCAACTGTTGTTTTAGATGTTTCTTTGGAAATAAAAGAATAAAATCTTAGATAATATAAAACTTTGAATTATAAAATATTTGATAATTTCATTAAAATACATAAATTGGTTTAATTAACTTTTGAATGTAAGTCGGTAACACTTTGCGACATGCGCAGAAGAGTAGTTGAAAACGTGTTTCAGTTGTTAAAGGGATAATAGGTTTAGGAAGCTATGAGAACCTGTAATCAGCAAAGGTTAATTAATATCAATGATTTGAATACTTTCTCATCAATTGGGTTCCCTCGTTGTTAATGATATTTTCAATTGTAAATCCAATAATATCACATAAGGTCTGGTCAGCCAAGGAGGCTTAGGTTATCCTACATCAATATACTAAGCTAAAAATACAGAAGAATCATTAAAATAGAATAATAAACATAAAATTAAATTAGAAACACAAAAAATAAAGCAGATATGTTAAATATTCTAACCAACAGTGTCATTTGTTTAGGCCAACAATCAAGAATGAACTACCACACAATGGTAAAAGTTATACTTGGCTCGACCAACTTAATAAAGTTAGGTTACACACATTTTACATCATAAATTTTGTTCTTTTGTCAATGTTACATTCACTAATTTGAATTTTCATAGCATGAAACAGTAATAGAGTGCACTTGATAAGTGCTTTGCATGTGTGAAGTTTCTGTACACATGTGATAACCAGCTTAATAAAGTTAGGTTACACATACTGAAAAGCAGTTTATTATATGCGTGTGTGGGGTGAGGGTGGGGTCTGAAACATGTAAATCAAGGAAATCAAGTTGTTTCAGAACCTGGCATATATGTTGGTTTAGAAAGTCAACATCAACAGACCAAGAAAAATTAAAGAGGCGTAATTTAAGCAAAGAAACAGAAATTGATATCTATCAAATAAAATTAATTTAAACAAATAACATTTGAACATGTTGAGATTTTATTAATCTGGCAAAAGAACAAAAACAGAAAAAAACAGTTCTAACTATTTAATCAAAGTTTAAATAATTATGTCTGAAATACGTGAAAAACGTTTAACCCTTTCGCCATTTATATTCACCTGTAACTGTACTCCTTTGTCGTCTTGGTTATCCATCTGTACTTTAATACTGCTATACTTGTCATCTTTGATTTTTAGTGTTACAATGCCATGAATCTCCAAGTTCTGTAATCCACCATCTCTTAATGCTGTTAAAGTTAACTTCTCTTCTATATGAAGATGAACACTGAAAAAAAAACATACAACACATCCATTAACACTTTATTTAGATATAATCAAATGTTTATTCAATAAGTGTATGTATTCATTGTGATTGAGAAAATATTTTTTTACTACGCATTATGATGCTCTTTGTATATCAGTGTGAAATATAAATAAATGTGGCCTCAACATAATTTGATATCCAAATTGAATTTAAAAAGCCTATTTTACTGATTTGAATAATATGTCACAAATTAAATTATTTTTTTTTAAATTTCACACATCAAATGTTTTATGAACACTGTTACTTAGGTAATCTTTATACAATAATTAAAAACCAAGCTTCAAATACCATTTTAAAATGTTAAAAACGTTTGAAAGGTGCATGCACTAACATTTTCAATTAGGCTTAACTATAATAGTTTTCTTTGTTTGACACAAGATCTTAGAAAATATCTTACAGTTGTGAAAAAAATGACATTTTTCAAATACTAAAAAAAAAACTGGGTTAGGAATTTATCAAAATCAAAAATATCTCTTATTGATTAAGCTTCCTTTCCTAATGTTTTGGTACAGAATTTTTTTTTTTATCAATGGTTAAAGATATCCTACCTTTCTGTATGAACCGGAGGAGGTACAGTTTTGGACAAAACAGGCTGTTTCATGGCACTTGCTGAAGTAGCCACATCTTAAAGAAATTGACACCTTTAAATGATACTTCCCAGGCAAAATACGTTACTGTATATTGTTTCTAGCTCAAGCACATATTTCTGAGTGCCTTAACAATGCAATAACTTTTTTGTATTAATATATGGCAAAGAAGCTAGTACAAAAGGTTATCAGCCACCATACATAATTTTGAATTACTGACCAGAATAAAAGGAGCCAGTCAGGAACATTCTACCATCCATCTTAGAGAATTCAGTGTGATGCACCCACAACTTAGAATTTGGGAAATATTTTGTGTCATCACATAGATTTGAGTATGATTCACTAGCTACCTAAATCCAGAGCTCTACTAAAGGCCCAACCCATGTTCTACAATAACATTTTTAACATGAGAATAAGCAGGTAATGTACCAAAATTGTAATAAACATAAAATAAAGTATAAAAACTATTTTTCTTCTTTTATGACTAGTACAAGTTCTTGAAAATCTAAAAACATCATTGGTTTATGTAGTAAGAAATATTTATCTCTAACTAAGAAAATTGAAGTGTTATTTTTGTGAAAACTGGATAAGTTCAAGATTCCTGCACTTTTCAGGTAAAAAACTTACAAGACTTTTACAGTATTAATTAAAAATTTCCATACCCAAAGGTTGTTCTGTGTTATTTCAATGAGAAGAAAAATGTCATGAAATGTGTTACAAAAAACAAACAAACAGACAGTGTCAATTTTTTAATTATAACCTGTTGTTTTATGTTGTATGCTGTTTGACAAGATAAAAATATTTTCCTTTGGCCTTATACTCTCCATCTTATGGATTTTATGTTCACAACTTTTATTGTTATAGAAAGTATACAATTACTTAAAACATATGATGAAATGAAGTTTTATAAGAAAAAGTTTATTTTTCAAGAAGTATTCCAAAACAAGTGCATATGAATTCTGAATTTACTTACACTTTATGTAAAAGATTTTACTGATTAAAATGTAATTATAATGGCAATTTATGGACTGATAACATTTAATAACAGCTTACCTAAGAAATATTTGATATTTATAAAGCTCAAAACAAAAATGTAAATTAGTATTTTACTTACTTTCTCCTTCAGACTTAAGCTGGTCAACAAAAAGGTCCACATCTTTATTTTTACTGCCTAACTTTAGGGCTTTACTTGGGCCAGATGGTCGACTGAAAGAAATTAGGCAAAATGGTTAAGAAATATGTTACTACAGATTATAAAATACTTTTAGGATAAATATTGAGGTTCCTTATAGCTTTTAAGTTTCTAAATCTACAATGAAGATGATACACATAGTTCCTATTTTTCATCTGAAGTGAAAAATTCAGTTATAATTAGGTAATACTGTCTATTACAATCATACGTTCTTAAAACATCACTGCTATCACAGAAAATAATGGGAGCTGGAAATTAGAATTAAACCTTCCTTTAACCCTTTCTGTAAGTTGTCTGAAGTACCTCAGGCACCCTCCATGTTTTGAAAAAATATTTGCCTGATTTAATTCTGGGTTAAATTATAAGATATATTATATACACACACACACACACACATATATATATATATATATATATATGTATAGTGATCTCCATCATTAAAAGTTTACAAAACCACATCAAACTTATTCATTTTAATACTTTCACAGATAAAACATATTTGTAGAATGTTTCATTTACAAAATCAGAACTGAAAATACCTTGGTGCTGAAAAGCTTGGTTTAGGTAGAGGCTCTGGCATACTTGAAGCACTATCTCCAATGATTGGAGAAGGGGCCATCCCCATGTTTCCACTACCAAATCCACCTGATCCAAAACCTGGTGTCCTTCCTTTCTTGGCAGCTTCTTGCCTTGCACGTTGTAGTTCCCGAGCCTTTTCTTTCATTTTTTGTTTTGCCTCTCGTTCTTGAGTCTGAAAATTACAGTATCAAAACCTTTCACACAATAAAATTTTTATATGTCAAGATACAGAAAAACACTAACATTCAACAGTTTTTATTACACTTGTATGATCATGGAAGTTTCAATAATACATCTTGTATATCTACAGATACAGAATGTCAACTTAATGCAATAATTTTATTTAATTATCTTACTTTATAATCAGATATGACTTAGAACATGACTAACAGTCAAAATACAGCTTTATGACAAATGATGAGAATGTGTTAGAAATAATGGTTAACGAAACATCTTAAACTTGCTACAAATGTGACCGCAGGTTGTGAGTCGAGTGCCTAATTACCAGGATGTCTGATCCAAATTTATTGAAGAAATATAAAACTAGAATTTACTTAAGCATAACTGATGTTTTTTTATATTAAACTTTTCTTTTTTAATGGTTATATCTAGAATAATTAAACTGCTTACAAACCTGTCGCACAGCTTGGTAGACTTTCTCTTCGTGTGAATCCATTTCTACAAAAGTTCTGATTTGGGCCAAGTTGACATTCTCCCTGTAACCTAAGGCAACTATTTCATCAAAGGCAAAAATTAAATTAAAAGAGTTGTCGATGATATCTTCTTCATCCATATTTTTGCAGTATTCAGGAATCTAAAAAAGTTAAAAGAAATAAAGTATGAAAACATTAATCAAAATTTTGAACAAAAAATAACTATGCAATTTTAAGCATGTTATATTACAGTGAATACATGCACTCATCATTAAAAAAAGATTATATCAAGAAAAGAGGTTTTTACATAAAACATTTAAACGAGTAGAATGACAACACAGTTCCACGAAGTTCCTACTTCTTTTGATTCAGTTTTTGAACATGAATCAAAATTTGTATTCAAAACTTAATACCATAGAAATAAAATCTACATGTATAATAACACATGCACTGTATGTTGAAACAATCCCCAACTAAATAAAAAAAAAAATAACGTTAGAAAACTTTCTTCAAAAATCTAGCAGTTTTCAATAATAATCTGAAGTGCAATAACAACATACTTGAAAACAATTATTTCATGAAGGAAGGACCATAAAATAATTTAGATAAAAATTGGTGATCTTCGAAGCCATTTACTAAACATTTTCCTTTATGAAACATTTTTAGTACAAATCAAGTTAGAAATAACTACTCTTTGGTGTACTCAAAGTAACATGTACATAGGAAAATCTGTAAAAAACTATTAAACGCACTTAAAACTGTCACACTGATTTTTATATCTAAGTGCAAAAAATAAACACCAATCTTTTCTAAAACCTGTATCAATATTCTGTATAATCTGTTGCATTAACACATCAGAAAATTAAAGAACAGCAAATGTACAAAATTAATGTCAACTCACCACTCTGGAGAAAAGCCGGAGTGTTTCCAAGTCCTCTAGGATGTTACTAGTTCGAGTAGTAATCAGCAACATGTATAATTTCTCGAGAGGTTGATAAACATATCGTACACTTTCAGTTTCCACAAAGGTGTGTTGTCTTCCAGTACTGAGGAGTTTTGGGAAAGCAGCTAATAAACCTTCGATTCTTGCTCTGCTCATCTCTACAAACTGGCGAGAGATTATCGCTGTCGACAGATCAACCAATACAATGTTTAGTACATACTTTTAAGAAGCAAAAAGCTTTATTTTAAATGCTTGGGAACATTCCTGAAAAGTACAAGTTTTGGAAAGAGATTATCGCTGTCGACAGATCAAACAATACAATGTTTAGTACATACTTTTAAGAAGCAAAAAGCTTTATTTTAAATGCTTGGGTACATTCCTGAAAAGTACAAGTTTTGGAAAGAGATTATCGCTGTCGACAGATCAAACAATACAATGTTTAGTACATACTTTTAAGAAGCAAAAAGCTTTATTTTAAATGCTTGGGAACATTCCTGAAAAGTACAAGTTTTGGAAAATCTGGAATATATATAAAAACACACACACACATCTAGTGTCTGTTAAAAGTTTGTTTCATTTCTATAGCAAAAACCTGCTGTTCTACTCTACCCATAAAACACAATCTATTTAAAGTATAAATATTGCTATAACACTTTCTGACAAATCTAACAAAATTGCCTTTCAAACATAGCACAACTTTCCCTAATCTTTTATGAAATTTTTACTTGTAAAATTCCTCAGCTTAAAACACTGAACCTTATAAGGATCAGATTAAACATAACTAGACATATTTATTTCAAAATAGATTATCAGGAAATAATCTGGCTTTTAAGCTTGTTCTCAGCAGATTTATTTTTCCTTCTGCAAGGAAAAAAACATACAAATAAGCATGAGTATTTTTTATCCCTCTCTTGTCTTATGATAATGGCCACAGTTTGTACCATTTCACCTTTGAGAGAGGCTTACACAGTAAAAATAATTTAAAATAAAAATACACATTATTAAATATATATATCATGCTATACTGCTAACACATCTGTATTTAGTGAAAACCTACTGTATATTTTTACAAGGTTTTAAGTCTACTTAATCAAACCTTTACATTGTATCACCTAATAAGCATTCATAATTACATAAAGCATGAAATGCAGTCAAAATCTTAAAAACTCCAAATGTGAGTGACAACCTATGTCAGAAATATTAGCTGTAGTTTCTAGTTGAGGAGTCACTAAACAAGTTCAATATGAAACCATGTTTTAACTTGTGATCTTGGAAACTACATAAACATACAAGCAGCGGCACACATTGTACAATGAATATTGAACAAACAAACGTTTGTTGCAATGTGGGAAAATTAAAAAATTTATTTGATGCTCCAAAATATTTTTATACACTTTTCTGCATGTTTAGATATATTTTTTTTAAGTGAAAAAATATTTACATTGTATACTCTCAGGCAGGGGTGGACTGGACTAAAATTTTACCAGGGAAAAAGCAAGAAGGGACCCACAATTTTGTCAGAAAATTAACAAAACTGTGTACTTTCCCAAGATGGCCCTGCTCTCAGAATAATTGCTCAGTATTTGCAGATTGCTATAACCTACAGAACAATGGCTTAATTATATAACTTACAGTCACTTATTTAAAAAACAAATTTGATTTAAAAGTTTGTAGTACGGTATATTATTAAAATGTTAATGACTGTGTAAATACTTTTTAACTATTATGTTTCCAATATCCTTGTATTTTACATAACTTAAAAATAAAATAAAGAAAAATATTTCTTACCCTTTCCTGGCTTTGTACATATTGCTGCTGCCAACAAAACCTAGCAAAAGGAGAAAATGAATTTTTCAACTTTCTGAAATTAACTAAATTAAGACTTAGCGTGAAGGACAAGGATCACAATTTTGTTTTTTAATATTTGCATGCAAACACAAAGAATTAAGTAACAAAAGATCATTTGGTCCATTAGTCACTAAAGCTGGATGATTAGTGGAATATGTCGATCAATTATTTGTCAGCCTCGTTGATTGATTACATTCAACTTATCAATTATCCCCATGAAACTTGGATAGCTAGAATAATCAGAAACTAACTGATAAAACTCAACAATTGTGAATTAATTGAAAATAATGAGAAATCATAATGACTATAATTTGATTACTTGGATAGCTGGAATAATTGAAAACACTAATTCAGATTGATTAATAACTTTATATGACACTAAGTGATGATCACACATAATTAATTATATTGATTAAAGGTAGTTTTAATTTTGGAATAAAAATTTTGATCATGAAAAACTGTGTGACCTTTGGTATCTTTGTCTTAGAAAGGACAGAGAACTGTTCCAGAGGGTTCTTCAGAAGACTATTAGGGTGATATCACGGATGGACATTGTTGTCATGTGAAAGTAGCTGTGCTTACACACTTAAGTTGCTATTTTACAAAAAACTAATCTTAGGCTAATACAGAAAACACAAAACCAATATGATGAGATTTGTGGTGAAAGTAAACCTTACAACCCTCTTCATATGTACAGTTAACAGTAAATCTCTTTGACAATAGGTGAAAAAATAAATTCATTGCACTGTCATTGTGATTCTTGCCTTTGAAGTCTCAATCAACAGTTTACTGAATATCTAGCCAGATCCATGTATAAATCATTCAAAGATTTTTCTACGGTCAAAGAGTGTGCTGTTCATATTCTCCAATCATGTAAAATAAGCTTGCCTTAAAATTTCAGCAACAGTTCCTTTCCAAAATTTAATGCAGATTTAGATAGTGGGTATGCATACACAAATATGTTAGCTAAAAAAATCAGGATGGGCTGGCAAAATAGGTTGAAATATCTTAATCTGTACTTCTTGGAAAGAGAATGGTGATGTTTGATCTAACTGATAAGTATTCAAACTTATTAATGGAGCACATAGGATTTATGTATCATATATTTTTTTTTGTGTGTGTGTGTGTTGAATTCTGAGGATTAAAGAACAGTAGATCATAAACTGAAAACGTGTAAAAATTACACAAATTTTTATTTTGGGATAGTTTATTTCTTCAATAGGATAGTAATCTGTGGAACAAGTAGTCATCTAGAGACACTGAGACTGCAACTTTACAAGAGCTTAAGATAAGGATTAATTAATATTTGGGGACCCACTGCTGGATTTAGTGAACAAGTTTCTGTATGTTGAGGGAACCAAAACAACCATGAAATTGGCTCTATACAAGTAATCTTTAAATGAAAAACAAATTCAAAACTTATAGGCTACTAACAGTTTTAGAGTTTTACATATGTAGTGCAAGAATTGCACTGAATAAAGAATGTTAGTGGCCTAAATAATGCTGCATTTTATTAGGAAAAAATTCACATCCCATCCTCTTATATTTACAGTGATCGTTTACTTTTGACACTACATATAAAAACCACAGAATAATAACTCGAGAGTAAAAATGGGCATTCCCCACTGCTCCCTTGTACTATCTTTTTCTACACAATATAACACGAAACAACACACTTCTAAATTTTACTTATATACATTACCATATGAACTAGCTTTCAAATAATTTATGAAAATGTCTTCTAAAATAATATTTTGAATATAAAACAGGCCATACACTGAAGTTTATGGCATTTTACTATCACATTGATGGCAAAATGTAATTGGCATCACGAATAACATTAAATGCTTCTTTCATACCACACAACTGAAAATTCATTAATTTGGGATACTAAAATTGAAATTTGGAGATACTTGAATTTGTTTTTCATAGTATTGCATTGCAATTGTCAAATTTCCATTATATGGTACTAAGTTCTTCAATCAACAGCAGCTCTTAACATTGATACCTAGCAAAGTGCTTTCTGATCATGTTAATTAATAAGTTAATAAGTAGTGCCTGATAGGGATTTTGTAGCTAAACATTTCAACCTAAAAAAAACAACCATTCAAACAAATAAGAAAAAACAGCAATATTAAACTTAATGAACACTTCCCTAAAATATTAAAAATAATAAATAATGATCAATCAAGTATCTGCAATGAACTATAACTTTTAATAATCAATGACTATCTTACATGTCACAGTCTGTGCAGACTCATACTGCTAGAAATAGGGTTTTAATACCTGTGGTGGGCAGAGCACAGACAGCCCTTTGTGTAGCTTTGTGCTTCACAACAAACAACATCACAGTCTGTTTTTGCCAGTCTCACTCATCATCAGATCAAAAGACTTTTTATTTCTTTGCCAGACTATGATATTGCATACCACATGATCGTTAGCATCTGTTTCATATAGTCATACATGAACTTATTATTCATACCTCACTGTCCTGGGAATCTTGTGTAGATTTCTTAATATAAAAATTACCAGTTTTATATTTCACTATATATTAGGAGGTAGTTGAACTAGTATTTTTAAGGCAAATAAAATATATATGAACTCATCAATAGAAGAAACAAATACAAAAAATGATAAACAAAATCATAACTAAAGATGAAACAAATTACTACCTCAAAAGCTAGATATCTGGTCTACAGTGATGAACAGTTAGGCCTAGCATTTTCTGAACCAATATTAATTAAAAATAACCAACTGAAAATGTTGTTGTTGTTGTTGTTGTTCGATTTAAGAATCGTACATTTGAAAGAGAGAATACGGGAATTTTTTCACCCATAAAAGTATATGTAGAAAGCTACTTGTAATCTGGAGTTAATGCTTGCACCAAGACCCCTTTGTCCAGTGAATGTTATCAATGTAGGTGACCAATGTGCATGTACAAGTCCTTGTTGCTTTAAAAAAAAAAAAAGGTTGAAACAAGTAAAGGCTAATGCTCATGCTTTAAATTCCAACATTATTAACTTATCACTGTAAATTGTTGTAGGTATTAAATGCTATAACTTCTAATAAGAATCACATAAAATACAACCCCACCCCGCACATTCCTCATAATAACATATTGAAATCAGAATTCAAATCAGAGATGTAGAACAGCATTTAAATCTGGTTCCTCTTATAGAAGAAATATAAAATATATATGTTGTCTGAAAATTGTACTATTATCTTGTGGTCTTCTAAATGGCCTTCCCATTTTCAGAGGATCTATAGGCTACTGTAGTTATAGTATACGAGAAACATGATTTCTACCAAATTACCTAGCTATTTCTTTCCACAAGTCTCCTGTTGCTGTACATGAACTGATATTAACCAAGAAAATAATATACAGTTTTAGATAATATGTGCAATTTGACATTCATATTAACCCTTTTAGACCAATATTTTTTCTTCCTCAACAAAAGAAGTCTTTTTTTTCTTCAATATAATAATAAGACTGAACTTGATAGTTGTATTGGACAATGAAAAACTACAGTTTAAGTACTTTAAAGTGAATCTGTATATTTGAGGTTTCTCTATTACCAGTGACCGTCATTAATGTGGGTTACCAATATTTATTTAGTATGGTATGAGATTTTAATGGAAAGTAATAAATGAACTGGAACTTGTATTTTAACTTCTCACATAGCTCTAGTTCTTACTACTTAGTATTATATATATATATATATATCTGTGTCAGTGTAAACTACTTGTACCTGATGATGACATAACCTTGTCGAAACGTTTTACATTTGCTGTTATGTTAACCTTATATTAAAAGAGTTTGTTCATTACTCATTTAAGTCGTCTCCAAGCATTAATTATATTTAATAGTAATACTAATATTTCTAGCTATGTAACTTGTAAGCCTACATTACAATTTATATACTAGTATTACTACTTTACTGAAAACCTTATTAGTATTTCCTGCTTACCATTTTAAGATATGTTGAAAAATAACCTGCAGTTATCTCAAATAAAACCTCCAGAACCTGTATAAGAACAATTTCTTAAAATGTAGTACACCCGCAAACTATAGCTTCTATTAGCCTGTAGGCCTAAGTTAAGTTCTGATCTCAGTCCACATCAGCGTCTATGAGAAAGGCAGCAGCCACGTCACTATTGAAGGAATCAAAAAGTGGACCGTCGTATAAAAAACACACACATAATATATATATATATATGTGTGTGTGTGTGTGTGTGCGAGTGACTGTTTGTGTGTGTATTATTAAGTACATATATGTACACACATATATTATCCTGTGCGGACTTTGTTTGTTAATTAACCATAAAACTACACTGTGTCTGCCCACTAGGAGAACTTAAGCTCAATATTTAGCGTTATAAGCCCTCAGACTTAGTACTGAACCAATGGGGTGGGGACTTATGTATACACTGGTGGATCCTGGGGTTTTATTCAGTCACGGTAACTCTAACAGCAATTGCAGTCAAATATATATATTTTATGTAATACGTAATGATACAATTTTTAATTGTCTGTAGTGTTTTGGTATTAAATGCCCCTCACATGCATGTTGCCTTCCTCATATCCAAAAGCTGTCTCCGAAAGTGAAAAAAGACACACACACATATACATATAAATTTGCCTTTGCGCATTTATTTATGCTCATACCTTTCTGTTGTTTCAAATTAAAAGAGTATTTAATACGCGTACAAAAAAGGCACCATTTGGTCCTTCAAAGCTGTCCCTGCACGCGCATCCTCAAGAATAAGACTTGAAATTAAATCTACGTCATATTTTTCACGATATCACATATTTCTCTCTTGAATTCTTGTAAATGGTGTCTCTCTCCTCTTCAGCTGATGACTGAAACTTCGCCTGTCTTTTACAAATATTAAGCTTCTATCCTGTTGTTCATTAGCTTAATCTTTTCCGATAACATAAACCTCCATCTTCTGAAACATCCTAGTAATGTAATGATGTGGGAATTTTACTTTTAATATATTAACAATATGAATCAGATTATAATAGATCTTAGTGTAAAATCTTTGTTTCACTGGATTTCACATGTTTGGTGACCCCTGTCTCAATAGATGGAGAAAAAATTAAGAAAAACTTGGAAGTTCCGTTATCTCTCAATAGATGGCCA